GGCCTGTCTCAGATTAGATTAGGGAAGCAGGGAGGCACTCAGCACCAGCCCCTCAGGCTTGCCCTCACCTCCGCTGTGGTCATTTTGGAAAGATGCTGCAACCTGAGGCAAGCAACAGAATAAGGGACATTTAATCTCAAGGAGAAAAGCAAAGTCATGTAACTGCAGGAGTTCCCAAGAATCTGATGTCTATGTCTAGGAGTAAGGGAAATCGGAAGTGTCCCTGAAATCCACGAAAGCTTGGTTGGTGTTGGTGAAGGAATGAAGCCTGTCTTTTCTTGCAAAGGTGACAAGCCTGACATTATAAATACTGTGTGTGAGACTCAACCTTGATGCCATCTATCTTTCCAAATCTTTGCAAGTTTCTTCCCAGAGTTATTTTGTACAGTAAGTCTAATTTTTAAGAGCCACAAATCCTTTTTGGAATAACAACAATAAAGTGTAAAAGCCTACCACTCCTCTAGAATATCCCTCCAGTGCATTCCTTCTATGTTCTCCATAGGAGCAATGACATCTCGGCACTTGCTGTGTGAAGGGACTGGTACAATAATCTGACTTCGTAGCTGCCAGCCTTTTCCACCTCCAGTATATCCTGTATATCTCTACTAGACCAATTTCCCAGAAAAACAATTTCATCCCTTCCTTCCTGTGATTTAACAATCTGATAACTTACTACTAAGTCCAAATGCCATTTGCTATGGTTTGAATGATGGTGTCCTCACCAAAATTCATGTTGAAACTTAATCCCCAGTGCAACAGTATTAGAGATAGGGGCAGAGCCCTGAATGGGACTGGCACCCTTATGAAAGAGCTTCAGGCTGAGGGAGTGCTCTTTTGCCCTTCTACCACATGAGGACATAGCTTCCACCCCGGAGGATGCAGAAACAAGCCACCATCTTGGAAGCAGACAGCAGCCCTCACCAGACACCAGCCCTGCCAGTGCCTCCATCCTGGACTTCCCAACCTTTGGAACCATGAGTTTCTTTATAAATTACCCAGTCTTTCTGTTGCAATTCTCCAGTAAAAAAAAAAAAAAAAATTACCCAGTCTCTGGGATTTTGTTATAGCAGCACAAATGGACTAAGACATTTAAACTAACATTTAAACAACAAGCCTTCATTTTCTGCCTACATGGCCAGACTGCTCTTCTCACTACCCTTCTAGCACACTGTTTATCCTGGCAAACTGGCTTTATTCTTATGCAATCCATTCCTTCATGAAACCTCTAACCTCAGAAATCCTTACCTTCTGGATACTGCTGACACTTCCTGTGGAATAGCCTTTATGTTAAATAAGAAATAAAAGATGGAAGCAACAAAGGGAGAAGACCTATCTCCAAGTTCTATTTTTATTTAAATGTAAGGACTTTATATTTACTGACATCTAGCTTCTTTCTAAATAGTGAGCCTGCATCCCCTGGTTTACCAGCAGGAAAAAAGGAACGTGAGCAGCCCTCTGGCAACTGAGCAGCGCCTTTAGCCCATGAAGACATCCCCACTACTCATGTTGGAGCAATGTCAACTCTGAAATAGAATAGTAATATCAGGCCATACTTAGCCCCTCCACTTACATACGATTACTAATACCAGCAACCAAAACCATGCTGTTTCCTTCCCACACTCATTAATGATGTCTTAGTAACATGAACACTTCATAATTAAATTCAGTTAACATCAATAAATACAGCAACAACTGATTAGTTATTATGCATACAACCAATGAATGACACACACAAAAAAAAACCCAATAAAATCCATTGTTTATGGATAATGAACATATCCAGGACTTTCCACTGGACCAAAATTTCCTTTTCCAAAACTCTATGTTCTAGTGCAGTTTATCATTTCATACATAGGAACTTACTGAAGTCAGTAAAAGAATCCCTCGGGACCAAGGCTCCCCAAGATCAATAAATTTTTATACCTCTGATCTCTCTAAGCTGCTCTGAGAGCAGAGAGGCAGCCATGGCCCAGGGAGCCAGGCGCTGGCAGTAATGAATATGGACTGTGAGGGAATATGAATTCGAGTGATACTGAGGTGACTTTCCAGAGCCATCCACAACAGTGGGTCTTACCTTTTTAAAAGACACATACTCCTTTGGGAGTCTCCCCAGGAAAATGAATTTATAACTCAAACTACTGCATATACTTCACAGACTCCATGAAACCCATCCAGTGAACTCTTAGAGGTCCGAGACCCCAGATTACGAACTGTAGATCTATGCTTCTACCAGACACCCATTTCCTCCTATAATTGAAGAGTCTGCAGCACATCCCTTCCTGTTTGCCTTCTCAGACTGGGGGCTACAACAGTAGACAGGTTGTATGTGTTGTGATGAGAAGGTGGGGGTGTGGTCAGCCTGTGGCCTAGTGAAGAGTCTACGCTTCTTTAATTATTGCCTTTGTTTTCAGTAAGTTCATGGTTGGTCCACAGGACTTTGGGGGAGGGAGGGCATAAAAATTTCTTCTCTCAAGTTGACTGATGAGGAGCTTAAAAATAAATGTCTTCTCTTCTTGTAAGAATTCTAAGATATGTCACAGCATACCAGAGACATAGTCTAGTACCCAACACCAGGGTAATGTGGCAGATTTGGCAGTCTGTTGGTCTCTTTGTAATGTCAGATTAAAGAAACCACCTGGAGGCTGACATTGGCCCCTCCTCTTCCCAAGAGACAGATCTGGCCCTAAAACACAGAAAGGCCTACAATGAAGATCTGGGTTCAGAATAGTTCTCATCACATAAAATTCCTCTTCCAGGTCCTAGATAAAGTGGCCACTTTGTGTCAAGGCCAAAGAGCTGAAGACTACTCCTTTTGGCTGGGGTTTCACATTGTTCTTGCAATTCAGTTGCATCTCATCTTTGCTATCCCTTTGTGGGTACCGACAACCTTGGCAAAACATGAGTAAGTGTCCATACTATTATTTGCTCTGATTATTCTGCGTAAAGATGCCAAAGAAGGATGGAGCAAAGGCCTTGGTGACACTTTTGCCTTGGATAGATGAATGGCTTTAGTCCATCTAGTCCCTTAGTTATATCTATCTGTATTCCAAGCACTGTGAACAAAGACGTTCAGAATCCCTTTACAAGCACCAAGCTGAGCTGGGTGCAGTGACTTGTGCCTATAATCCCAAATACTTGGGAGGCTGAGGCAGGAGGATTGCTTGAGCCCAGGAGTTTGAGAAGCCATCTCTTAAGAAAAAAAAAAAAAGATGCCAAATATCTTAAATCATTCCCAGCTCTGACAAAACTTGCCTTCTAGGATTTGGAGACAAAGCAAGAATTTGTAACTACTGCTGACCACATCTGGAAGTAGCTCGAGGCTGGCCATTAGAGACCTGAAACCACAATTTTCATTGAGGATCCCAACCTCAGATCACCTTTTATTTGTTCAGGGCTACTATGGGGTCAAGTGATGTTAAGGATGTAGAAAGGATGCTGCAAGTGCCCATGAGACCAGGTTTTGTGGCAGGCTAGGGCCACCACTAATTCTCAACGATGACATTTCCACAGAACTTGCTCAAGCACAAGCAAAGGACCCACTAACAATCAGATGTGCACGATCCACAGACTGCACCTGCTGAGAACAGGTCCTGGTCCTGTGACACAAACCCCCTGGTGCAAAGGTCTAAGAGGCTGGCATTCTGGTCCACGCTTAGCAAATCCCTTCCTGCTGCGGGCACCAGGACAGAGGCAGCTGGTGACACTCAAAATGAGTTGTCCCACGCCAAGTCCAAAGCAGCAGCTCACAGGCCTCCTCTGTTCCTCATGCCATACACCAAACATGATGGCCGGCCTTACACACCTATCTTGTTTGGGCCTCTCTCTGTTCCCGCTTCACCTCTATTCTGTCACTTCTGCACAGGTTGGAGGCTGGCCTGCACACTCCAAGCCAGAGAACAGGCAGCAACTGCCACAGGACATTCTAGGGAAGGAGTTCCCCACAGCATCTAGATCGGCATGATGATGTGGGGGGAAACGCTGGCCAAAAAAAAAAAAGACGAATTTCCAAAAGGTAAATTTCTGTGTATTCATGCCTAATCTTCCAAAGTTGTGTAAATAAATTTTTTCTACCATCCCCCATCACTTGCACAAATTTTGGTCAAGTCCGAACGTAATTTGAAATGAGGTAGGTAGTTTCTTTCTATTTGTGCCTTCATCGTCGTGGTGACTGTCCAGGCCTGTGCCGAGAAAGCACTTGTCTCCAGGGAGCGGCAGCGCCAGGGTGGGCACCAGTGACTGGTGGAGCTTCTCAGTTGGCTATTTTCTCAATCTCATCCAAATCATCTGTGTCCAATCTTTCTATCTTCTTATCTGGGGGGGAAAAAACACAGGTCTCTGTCCCGCCTAGGAACGTGCCACACCTCAGGCCATAGCAGCCTTCACTTAGCCCCAAAGGCTCTCAGTGCCTGAGCAGGGGCAATGGGGCCCTGGTCACTGACAGCAACAGTCAGAGCCACCGGGACAGTGTCATTTGAGTCCCTGACCCCTGAACTCTCCGGGTGTGCTCCCTGAGCACTTCCACATGGTAAGGAAAGGAGAGTACTGTGCTCAGGGACAAAGGGCTCTCTCGGGCTACAGAAAAACCCACCCCTTTCCCATCCCTGCTCCCCAGGAAAGGGTGCTGGGCCGAGGACCCTCCCAGGGACTCACTAAAATGCTCCTGGATCCTGTTCAGGATGTTCATGCTGTGCTTGCTGTCGACCATGTTCACGGCCAGGCCCCTCTTGCCAAAGCGCCCGGTGCGCCCGATCCGGTGCAGGTAGGTCTCGTTGTCCGGGTTCCCGTCCTTGTCCACGGGAAGATCAAAGTTGATGACGACAGATACCTGTTCAACGTCGATGCCTGCGTGAAGGAGAGGGAAACACAGAGGAGTAAGGATGGGAGACAAAAACAACTGTCACCCACAGGTAGATCAACGTAGACCAACCCTGGGTGGGGGGAGAGTCTAGGACATGCCAACTGTGGGGACTGGGTACAAGACAGGGCACATACAGACACAGCAGAATCCAGAGGGAAAGAACAGAACCTCGGCAGGTGCAGTCAACTATGACATCAGTGAAAGAGCCTCTGGCAGGCACAAGTGCCTGGAGCCAGGTGCCCAGGAAGAGCAGACTCCATCCTCCACCTGTCAGAAGCCCCGCACGTTTCCTTCCAAGTCAGACTCCTGGCTTCTGTGTATGTTCTTATCTTAGAAAATCTAAATACTCTCTCCTAGAAAGGAATCCCACAACCAACCACACCAATCTCCCTCAGACCATCCGAGTGTTTTGTAAAAAAAGAAGGATTTCTCTCGCTAACAGGCCCTGGGACCCTGAGCCTAGCAGACCCAGACACATTCTCTGCTCACCTCGGGCACACACATTGGTGGTCACCAGAACCTTCTCTTTGCCCTCTCGGAAGCGCTCGATCACTGCAGCCCTCTGCTCCACCATCATTTCGCCACTCAGCAGAGCCACCTGGTGGCCTTCTTTTGAGAGCTCTGCTGCCAGCCAGCTAGCTGTTTTGCGGGTCTGGAATGAAAAGAATTGTTTTAAATGAAGAGACCTCTTAAAAACACCAAAATGAAGATACCCACAAAAAAAGCTTGTCACTACTAAAATGCATGAAGGCCCTGCTGAGTTCAGTCAGCAGGTTAGGGTTACAATTTCTCAAACAGGAATTTAGCCACATGATTTTTTTCCTTTTGGGATAAATTAGTTAACTGCTCTTAGTTTTTCATTTAGGAAGAATGTGGTCTGAGCCAAAGATCTTCATTCCTAAATAGTCTATATTCTTTTTTTAATTGTTTATTATTATAATATTAAAAAAATTGTCCCCCCCCCCTTTTTTGGGCAAAGACTGTGGAGTGCAACACTTATTTTTATTTTTAAAGAGACATGGTCTGACTGTATTGCCAAGGCTGGCCCTGAACTCCTGGGCTCATGCAATCCTCTGGGCTCTGTCTCCTGTGTAGCTGGGACTACAGGCACATGCCTGGCATATATTCTTAATATTTAAAAATTATTTCATCAAATGTTTAGTTTTTTTTCCCCCTAGTAATCAGTAAGAAGTAGGATCATAGAATGTTCAGTTCTTCACAAAGTCTTCCCCTTACAAGTCGTTACAATGAGAGGAGACTATGCTGGGTACAGGTGGAGGTGATTTACCACTTCCTCTCTCCATATCACACAGTGGGAATCTGGTCCTTAGCAGTGCTGAGGGGAAGCTGGGGGAGTGGGTGAGGGGGCAGGGCTGGGGGTGGTATGTGTGTGCAGGGCAACCCCAGCAGGCCCCCTGCTGCTGCTGCGGCTACTCACATGGCAGAAGATCATGGCTTGAGCAATCGTGATGGCCCCGTACAGGTTACACAAGGCCTGGAACTTCTCGTCTCTGCTATTGCACAGCACATAATACTGCTTGATGGTGTCCAAGGTCTCCTCCTCACGCTTCAGTTTGATAACGTTTGGGTCCGGGACCACTTTCTGGGCAAACTTCCACACGGAGTCTTCAAAGGTGGCAGAGAAAAGCAGCATCTGGCAGTTCCTGGGCAGCATCCTGCAAGGGAAGGCCCGGGCATCTGGCACCACCCTGCGGTTTTCGGCGGAAGGAGCAGGTGCACGGGCGGCCCAGCCTGGACGGTCTGGGTCCCCAGGAAGGAGCGTCACGGGGAGGAGGAGAAGACCTCGGTGGGGACAGGGCTGGGGAAGAGTCCTCATGTCTCCTTCCTCCAGCCAGGCTGGCAGGGCATAGGGTCGGTGCAGACATGGAAATGGCCCGACAAACTAATGCTGCTGAAAATATGAGAGTAAAGAACTCGACAGAAGAGAGAAGGGGCATATTAAAGGGAGCAAAGGGAGGAGATGCCGCAGATCGGGAGGCCGAGAAGTTCCTCCCTGCTCGAGATTCCTACCTCTGGATGCGGATGCTCTGATCCTGGTGGCCCTGAGTAGCTATCATCACGTCAGCCTCATCCAGAACGAACACCTTGATCTTCTTGGGGTCGATGAACTTGAGCTTGGAGCACCAGTCCAGCACAGTCCCAGGGGTCCCGATGACAATCTGCTCACTGATCTTTTGACCCCTTTCCACTGTGGAGACCCAAGACATTTTCCGTGGGTATTTCAAAGACATAGCCAGCTCTCTTCTCTGAGAAATACTAAAGTTGTTGTATATTTTAATGTAAATGTTTTCTGTTTGCATTTTTTTTTTGAGACAGAGTCTTACTCTGTTGCCCGGGCTACAGTGCATGGCATCAGCCTAGCTCACAGCAACCTCCAACTCCTGGGCTCAAGCAATCCTTCTGTCTCAGCCTCCTGAGTAGTTGAGACTACAGGCACGCAACACCACGACCAGCTAATTTTTTCTATATATTTAATTGGCCAATTAATATCTTTTAATTTTTAGTAGAGATGGGGTCTCGTTCTTGCTCAAGCTGGTTTCAAACTCCTGACCTTGAGCGATCCTCCCGCCTCGGCCTCCCAGAGTGCTAGGATTACAGGCTTGAGCCAGGCTTGGCCTGTTGTTTGCATTTTTATCATAAGGAAAGGTTAGGATATCACTACTGTTCAATGGACACAAAAATAGACAAAAATGCTGGTAAGATACAAACAATGAGAAAAAAAACCTTTTCAGTATTCTTTTCATTCTCTATAATCATCGAATTCTGAGTACATCATTATTTTTTTCTCTGTCAAAATTGTTCAAGGTAGACTAGGACATTTCCTCACTAGCAGACTTTTTCAAAGTTCCTATCTTTCCACTGCACTCTGCCCATCTGCTATCCTGCCACCTATTTTAAATACGCCAGTTGCCTTTAATTTCCCTCTGTCCAAGTCATTAAATAGTATTTATTATGAAAAGGTTAATCTTTTGAAAGAAATATAAACTGCCTTCTTAAAAAATGTGCTTACCCAAACGGGCCCAGCACACAATGACACATTCTCAGCCCTGTGCAGTCTGAAACTGGGAACCTGGCTCTTCCTTTTTGTTTTTGGAGATGGGGTTCTTGCTATGCTGTTGAGCTGAACTGAAACTCCTGTGCTCAAGCAATTGATCCTTCCACCTCAGTCCCCTGCGTATCTGTGACTACAAGTGTGCACCACTGCAGCAAGCTTTGGCTCTTTCTTTTGAGCTATATGGGATAGTGATTTCCTTTTTCATCCCTTAAGAATCATAACCTTAACCAGACACATGCAAACTCCCTCTAGTCACAGACAAAATTCTGCCCAAACATAAATGCTGAGTCATTTCAAAGGTAACAAGAATGCTCCTTCTGACTTCAGTTAAACAAACCAATTATTCCCTCCCACAAAAAAATTATTCAGAATTTTCTATCCTTCTAACTCAAATCCAAATTGCAAAATTTTATGTATCTTATGATTATCTTCCAGTAAGTTTCATTATCTTTTCTTTTTTTTTTTTCCTTATTTTTACTCAAAGCTAGCCCCAGTTGGATTATTTACTTTTCTCTTCAGAACTGACCTCAAGCTGGCATTAGGATGTTTTAAACAGAATTGATTTCTGTGAGTGGTATAGTCATGTTTATTTTAAATATCCATAAAACTCAACTGAACTTCCAACAACACTTTTAAAATTACTTAAACCTGCCAGGCACAGTGGCACTTTGAGGATTACAGGGTCCTCACTGAGTGAATCAAGAGGATTGCTGGAGGCCAGGAGTTTAAGACCAGCCTGGGATGCATAGCAAGAACCCATCTCTACAAAAAAACACAAAAAATTAGCTGGATGTATTGGCACTTGCCTGTAGTCTCAGTTACTCAGGAGGCTGAGGCAGGAGGATCGCTTGAGCCAAGGAGTTTGAGGCTGCAGTGAGCTATAATAGTGCCACTACACTGTGGCTCGGGCAACCCTGTCTCTAAATAAATAAATACACATAATAAAAAAATAAAAATTCAAAAATAAAATATAATTACTTAAATAACGTTAATCGTAAAACAAACTCAGATAGAAAAAAATGAATAATGAAAAAAGAACAAAATAAACCCCCAGAATCAATCGCCATGAATAGTCTATGTTTTTGTTCTTCTAATGAAAAGAAAGAAAAGTAGGCAATTAAACAAATCCAGAATGTAGAACATTTTATGAACAACTGATCTGGTCTGTCCAAAAAGTCAAATGTAATAGGGAAGGAAAATGGTAAAGGGACAACTCTAGATTGAAAGAAACAAAGACCTGTAACAACCAAATGAAAGCCACAAACACTGATTCAATCTTGGTTCAAAAACAAAACAAGCTATAAAGAAACACTTTGGGGACAATTGGGGAAGAATGAAAACAGACTGGTATTAGTTATCCTAGAGAATCTGTTAATTTTCTTGGTTGTGATAAGGGTATCATGGGAATGTCAAAGAATGTCCTTATGAGATGCATGCTGCGATATTTAGGAATAAAGAGTTACAACGCCTGGAATTTACCTTTGAATAGTTCAACAAAAATATACATACACATATACACATCAATGACAAAATGTTAAGTTTTGAATCTAAGTAGAGAGCATGCATGTATTCGTTATGTTATTTTAATTACTGGGTATGTTTTGAAATTTTCCAAAATAAAAAATAAGTAATTAAACTAATGATTTAGGATCACATACTCACATTTATTGCCTCGAACGGCATAAGCTAGCTTCAGTTCAGGGTAAAATTTTCCCATCTGTTCAATCACTTTTCCTGTTTGAAGGGCAAGTTCATACGTTGGGGAGAGGCACAGACACTGGTAGGGAAAAAGTGCAGAATGAGAATTGAAGACAATAGGTCTTTTGCAAAGGTAAATTACCATTAGGACTCAGTCATTCCTCCAGTGGAAGCTGAAGGAAATAATATAAAAGTTAAAAAAAAAAAAAAAAAAACCAAGAATATAAAAATTGAAGTGCACACCATTTGAGAGTCATAAGCTAGAATTCTTATGGGTCAGAATGCAGGCTGCGTAGACACTTAAAAACAGCTACTGACGACCAGAATACAAAATCCCACCAAGAGGCAAGGAGCTGAAATTCTAACTGGAGACTACCACCTTCCTTTTCACTTACTCAGAAAGTTCTCAGAACTTTCTAATGGATGATAGTTGTAGATAAGGAGTTTTTTCTGGCAAGTAAAGGAGCCAAGCCTATCAGCAGTATCCAAGAACTGGCAAACCATGGCAAAGGAAAATGGATTTTTATTGCTACTAGAAGATCAACCATATCATTTATGCTCAATTTAAGGAGTCCTAGTTTCTGTAAATAGTTATACATAGCTTGGCTTTTAAACTATCAAATGGAATTCCTCTTCTATTTAAGCATTAGTAGAAAATTCACCAAGTCCTTACCTGGGGGTATTTGTTTGCAGGTTCTACATGGCTGAGCATGGCCAACACAAAGGCAGCAGTTTTACCAGTGCCAGACTGAGACTGGGCAATTAAGTTCTGTGGGCTGCACAAGAAAACAAACTGTTTAGGAGCTTAAATTTCAGGTAACATTTTAAGCTTATAAAAATGGAGAATAAAGCTTAAAAAATGAGCATTCAAAATATATTTATAGAAGGAAATATTTGACTCTGTAGCAGAGTTATAAATGCTTGCTTCACAAGTACAGAGCACTATAGAGAGATGATTTTGCATGAGATTTGAAATACTCCATATCTTTTATCTATTCTCTACCCAGCAACCAGTGATTCTTTTTTTTTTTTTTTTTTTTTTTTTTTTTTTTTTGACAGAGTCTCGCTTTCTTGCCTAGGCTAGAGTGAGTGCCGTGGCGTCAGCCTAGCTCACAGCAACCTCAAACTCCTGGGCTCAAGCGATCCTCCTGCCTCAGCCTCCCGAGTAGCTGGGACTACAGGCACAAGCCACCATGCCCGGCTGATTTATATATATATATATTAGTTGGCCAATTAATTTCTTTCTATTTTTATGGTAGAGACGGGGTCTCGCTCAGGCTGGTTTTGAACTCCTGACCTTGAGCAATCCTCCCGCCTCGGCCTCCCAGAGTGCTAGGATTACAGGCGTGAGCCACCGCGCCCGGCCTAGTGATTCTTTTAAAATGTGAGTCAGCTCACATCATTTCTCTGCTCAAAGTCCAGAGCTTAAAAAAAGACATGATTCATCTAGAAAAATGTCACTGTTATAACACAGAACAAAGAAAACTTTGAGAAATTACAGACTTGAAATATCTATTTTTAGACAAATAGGAAAGGAAATTTGAGGATTTAGGATTATATGCAGTAAAATTTTACAAAGTCACATAGAACAAGGATCAATTTTTATAAAAAGTTTATCATGCTCCAGAACCCTATTACTCAAAATTTGATCTGAAACCAGCAGCATTAGCATCACCTGAAAGTTCATTAGAAATGTTCAACCTCACACCTGATATCAGAATCTCCATTTTAATAAAGCCCTATGAGATTCACACACCTATAAATGAGAGAGCAGCACATCAGAAAAGCACCCTAGCAATTATCCCATGCAGGTCTCCCAGAACCCTGCGTAGCTTCTGTCTACTACATTTGACACAATACATTTTATATACCCATATAATGAAATAATATAAATGTACATGTACCAACACAGAAAGATGATCACATAATCAAATTTTAAAAACACAGCATATAGGCCAGGCATGGTGGCTCACACCTATAATCCTAGTGCTATGGGAGACTGAGGCAGGAGGATCGATTGAGCTCAGGAGTTTGACACCAGCCTAAGCAACAATGAGACCCTGTCTCTATAAAAAATAGAAAAAATTAGCCAGGCATGGTGGTGCGTGCCTGTAGTCCCAGCTACTCAGGAGGCTGAGGTAAGAGGATCGCTTGAGCCCAGGAGTTTGAGGTTGCTGTGAGCTAGGCTGACACCACAGCACTCTAGCCCGGGCAAAAGAGGGAGACTCTCTCAAAAAAAAAAAAAAAAAAGAAAAAAAGAAAAAAAAAGGTTTTCAAAAAATAGAAAATTAAAAATGAAATAGAGTTGAATCAGGATACATACGGTTCTGCAAGCATCAAAGGCAAAGCATTCTCTTGTATCTTGGATGGTCGGTTGAAACCCATGGCATAGACTCCCTGGAGAAGCTGTGGTTTCCTAGAAAAACAGAGATAAAATTAAGTGTCTTTGGTTGAAAAAAGCAGCAAAATACTGGAAGGATTTTTTTTCTTTTTTACTGTTATATATAGTTTATAACCACCAATAACTGAGTTGTGTTGAAGTGAACACAATGTGTGAATGCAGCTAAAGCTTTTACCTGGAAATTTCACCTGGATATTTTAGTTAATATCCTAAAGCAGCTAAATTCTTTTATAAAACTTGTATTAGCTAAAAATGTTCTGCTGTTATGATTATAACAGGCCTATCATCTCTATCTAATACCAAGGGGATAGTAGTTTCAGCTGGCAAAACCAAAAATAAAAAGGAAATACAAAGGGGAGTCCGAAAGTAAACAAACACTCACAGCCGAAGCTCTTCAAAAGACTTCACTGAGTAGAGGGGGGAGTTTGGATCCCGCTGCAGGACTTCCACTTGGTTTGTGTTATCGACAAGGTTGCTTCTGATCAGCTTGTTCAGTAAGGACTGGGCAGCTCGGTCCTCTGTCAGGAATAAGGGAAGGAGATTTTTAAAAGTCCAAGAAATCCATCATGAGTTCACCTGAATTAAACTGTCATCTACATTTTAAGTAATAACACTTATCTGTGCTGAAACTTCTAATTCAAGGTACATAATTTTGACTTAAACATATAATTAAAAGTTATTATTAAACAGAAAGATTATAATACTCACATCACCCATGTGGGCCTTCTATTCTTCCCCAGAACTGTAACAGCCCTCCTTTCCTGAGGTTTTCTATTTCTCCTATCTAGGCCCAAATGTTTACTTCCCAATTTGCACTACATAATATAAACTTAAAATCACAAGCTTAATAAACACCATCACAATGAAAAAAAAAAAAACCCAGGAATTAGCAAAGCCTATATCTTGACCCTGTATAAGCTGTGCACATCTTGTCCTTCATGTTAATGTGTCGAAATATCATTAAGCTTAATTTTATTTATTGATTGGACAGAGTCTTGCTCTGTCATCTGGGCTAGAGTGCAGTGGTTGCTAACTGTAACCTCAAACTCTGAGCTAGAGCAATTCTCCTGCCTCAGCCTTCCTAATAGCTGGGTCTACAAGGCATACTACGCCCAGTTAAATTTTCTATTTTTTGTAGAAACAGGGTCTTGCTCTTGCTCAGGCTATTCTTGACCTCCTGAGTTCAAGCAATCCTGGCACCTCTGCCTCTCAGAATGCTAGGATTACAGGTGTGAGCCACCACACCTGGCTAATTAAGCTTAATTTTATTAGACAGTGGAGGTGAAATTTAAAATTTCTTTTATAATGTTCTATACAAGTGTTCAATTGTTTAGTTGTTCAATGTAAAATGTCTCTAAAATGTAAACATTAAAATTCTTTCACTGATTGTTTATGCCAACTTTTATACTAGCAGTTACTCCTATTAAAGACAAGCCAAGTTGGATATAAAAATGAAGCTTTGTAACAATCCATTTTCTTAGGATGCAGAAGCTCATTTACATAGCTCTAAGACTGTGTTACCTTTTTCTTCTTCCTCTGTCTTCTCCTCATTAGCATTGGTCTTGACAACAGCACCTTTAACAGACACAAAGTGGCCATGATTCAAAATCACATCTCATACCCAACAGCTGGGATAATTCAAATTCTATACACTAAAAGTATAAAGGCCTGGGGAGCAAAAAATAAATGAGGAAACCAAGCCACTGACAAAAACATATGTCCTACAAAAGTCTGAGACACTGTTGCTCATATTTCAGTTCCTTCCTATTTCAGGTTCTCTCACTCTACCTCAAAAACAAATGTTTATTTCCCTCACACAGTCAGTATTTCTGAAATACTGTAGAAAAATGATTAGAGCGGTCAATGATCAGGAACCACCTTGATGCTCAACAGAGAAATATCTATGCAAATCATATTTTATCAATATGCGAACACAATAATGCCATTAAAATTCTATGCATATAAATTAATAAAAATTTACAGTCAAACAATGTTGTAGTTTTATTTCCCCCCTGTAATATTAAGTACATTAACAAAATTTAATGGAAATCTTAAACTTTTTTTTTTTTTTGAGACAAAGTCTCACTTTGTTGCCCAGGGTAGAGTGAGTGCCGTGGCATCAGCCTAGCTCACAGCAACCTCAATCTCCTGGGCTCAAGTGATCCTCCTGCCTCAGCCTCCCAAGTAGCTGGAACACAGGCATGCGCCACCATGCCCAGCTAATTTTTGTATATTTTTAGTTGGTCAATTAATTTCTTTCTATTTTTAGTAGAGATGGGGTCTCGCTCAGGGTGGTTTCGAACTCCTGACCTCGAGCAATCCACCCGCCTCCCAGAGTGCTACGATTACAGGTGTGAGCCACCACGCCCGGCAAAATCTTAAACTTTTGATAGACATGATTTCAGAAAATTAGAATAGGTAAACTCTCAGGTTGCTCAAACTTTGTTTATCTCATCCCAAACTGAGGAACTTATTTATTTTTGAGACAGGGTCTCACTCTGTCACCCAGACTAGAATGCAGTGGACAAAGTGGTATTATCGTAGTTCAATGTAGTCTGAAACTCTTGGGCTGGGCTCAAGTGATCCTCTTGCCTTAGCCTCCCAAGTAGCTGGGACTATAAGTGCGTGCCATCATGCCTGGCTGATTTTTCTATTTCTTGTGGAAATGGGGGGTCTCACTATGTTGCTCAGGCAGGTCTCAAACTCCTGGCCTCAAGCGATCCTCCTATCTCAGCCTTCCAAAATGCTAGGATTATGGGCATGAGCCACTGCCCCCCGGCCTTGAGGGACATTTAAAAAAAAAAAAAATAATAATAATGATAATCTTTGTCAACATAGTCCCATGGTTAGTAATAAATTTAACATCTTATAAACCAAATAGGTATCCTCATTCTTATATTAAAAAAACTTTGGTCATACAATCCAGTTTGTTGATTCCCAAATCAAATGACTGCTGGTATCTCCCAGCCCCCTGCCTAGTACAGACAAAATTTTTTCCAGGCAATCGTTATGCCGGAACAAAAATACTAAAGGAGGCCAGGCGCAGTGATTCACGCCTGTAATCCTAGCACTCTGGGAGGCCGAGGCGGGAGGATTGCTCGAGGTCAAGAGTTCAAAACCAGCCTGAGCAAGAGTGAGACCCCATCTCTACTATAAATAGAAAGAAATTAATTGGCCAACTAACATATATATAGAAAAAATTAACCGGGCATGGTGGCACATTCCTGTAGTCCCAGCTACTCGGGAGGCTGAGGCAGTAGGATTGCTTGAGCCCAGGAGTTTGAGGTTGCTGTGAGCTAGGCTGACGCCACGGCACTCACTCTAGCCTGAGCAACAAAGCGAGACTCTGTCTCAAAAAAATAAAAAATAAAATAAAAAAATACTAAAGGAAATCACATTTATTTTCAAACTAGCT